ATTTGTGAGATGTTAAAATTGCATACATACAGTAAAATTAAAAAAGGGTAAAAACAATCGTATGAATAGATTATATAATAATAAGTTATAAAAAAATAATTCATAGTTCATAATACACTATGCAGTGCCGGTGCTAGCATTTGGCCRCCCTGTGCGAATTTATAAAAATGCCGCGCTATATACCTACATTTTTTTCGTGCAAAAAAAAATTAATTCAGTCAAATTGAATAAATATAAAAGTTTTATGAATACTTTAAAWGATGTAATTGTTTTAACATTTTGGGATGATTTCAATTGAAAAATAACTCAAATAATTAAGATTAGTAGAACCTAAACAAACCATAGATGATTATAAGTTTTACTCAAATATAATATACGATACTCACCTATTATAATTATTACCAATTATTGCGTAAACGAGTTATTTTAATAGAACCAAAAAAATATTAAAAATGAAAACCAAAGTTATCTATAGTCAATTTATTTTATTTAAAAGAAAACAAATACGTTTTACATAATTTTATATGAATTCTATTAATGAAACACTTTTCTTGCCTTGGCGTTTGAGAAATCCTTAATAATTTATTCAATGTCTAACTCTTGACATAATTGGTGCTCTATAGCTATCATAGCCAGTCCACTAAGACGATCATTTGTCATTGTTGATCGGAGGTATGTTTTTATTAGCTTGAACTTAGAAAAGCTCCTTTCACCACTTGCAACAGTTACGGGTAAAGCCTCGGGTAAAGCTAAAAGTATACGTAGTGCAATTGATAAATTTGGTGCAAATGATCCAATATTAATTACAAACTTTAAAAGTTCAATCGGAGACAAGTTAGATTCAACCATTGGTATTATAACTCTGAGTTCATCTGCCATTTCAAGTCCGTTGATATCRGCTAAATCTCCATCCGTTAAAAATAGTTGCAAATCTTTGCAGTGGTTTAATAGGTTATCGTATGGCATATCTTTTAATTTATTTATGTCATAAAGAAAASAAAAATAATAGCTGTGTTCCTTAATCTGTTCAAATCTATCGTTTAAACTATTAATGGYAATATCAAATATATTATTAAAGAAGTTAACTTTGAAATTAATTTTTGGATCAATAATAGGTTCATCCATGTTTTCGTAATCAAATTGTCTTTTAACACGACGTGCTTTGATTCTTCCAGCCGATTGCTCAAATACAGACACCACATCAATTTCTGATGCCAGTTTTGAAGCTTCAATAACATATTTATCAAATGAATTATCACTGTCAAGTCTTTGCTGTTTCAAATATGATAATAATGCTTCCAATATTTTTATAGCTGCACTAATATCAAAATTAATTGTTTGCATTAGTTTGCTAACAGGATTAATTTGATTGAGTAAATCATACCAAATTATGATATAACAAAGGAACTTAAATTGTTTAATATACTTACAAAGACATAGTGCCACTATGGTGCTATACCTACATAAACTATTTAAACTATTTTTAAGAGAGATTGAAATTTAACAATTGAATTATATATTTTAGATGCATCTATACGGTATAATACAACATTATCTGTTGTGTGATTTTTAAATATTGTAATATAAGAAATATTTTCCACTAAAAACTAAAATCATTCAAAAATTAATCTTGATTTTCAAAGAAACCAAATTTATTTTACTTAACAGAAGAATAAAAATGGAGTATAATACTATATAATATAACCATAAAAATAGTTATATTTTATGTATGATCTATTTTATGGTTTATGATTTATATATTATAAAATATGTATCAAGTGGACCAAGACGTGTGGTTCATGCACATCGTAATTTAAACTAGACTTGTGCAGTGAATAGAACAACATCTGAAGTCCAGACAAGAATGTACACGATCTATGCGTACCTAACATTTATAATATAATTATTATATATATAATAGAATAAATTATATTAATACCTCCGATATAATACATAAATCGTTAGGCAAATGTGTAAAAAAAACAAAATAGCACCAAGACAACTGTTTTTTTTTTCTTCAAATTATCCATCACAGAGTTTATATTTAAATTAAWTAAATACGTCTAATCCAAAAAACCCGTACCATTGTAAAATGTTTCTAATATAGTAAGTTAGTTTTGTTTCAACAATACTTATTTGTCGTCCACCCTAATCACACAATAACAGCTTAATTTACATGCTAACGACTCCGAAGTAATTTCAGCTCGTGGTATTACGGGACAAAAACGATAATTGTCTTAAGAGTAAATTAATAGCTTTTTATTGAAAATKTATTGGTTAATCYATGGATTGCATTATAACCTTACTGTACGCTCTGCGTAAAGTTGCAAATCCAAGGCCGTTAACGGAACTACGCGCACGATTGACCACAAAAGTTATACAATAACTTATTTTTTGACATAAACAAGTATTTTTTGTCAGGGATGTATCTTAAATTTGTAAAACTTTTTTGTTACACTTTCCATTTGTCATCAGTTTCTATGAATGAAATCATTCGTTACTATATGACGAACGCCTGAATACATCACTAAACAAAATTATGTTTTGAATTCCTCGTATTTAAATATACAAAATATTCAGGTTCCAATGTTTTTACCGACAAAAGATATTGTTGGCAGATAATACAAATACAGAAAAATAACAAAAATCATATCAATATTACAAGTGAATGGAATATGCGTACGATAACTTAATTTAAATATATAAATATGTACAGATTTAAAATAAATTCAATCTGTTTATTTAACTGTAAAACATATGTTATAATAAATTAGACACATTATAGTACTAACAAAATACAAGTACTTATTTATAATTTTCTAAATATTTTCTAGCCTTAGTTATGTAGGTACCTATATAATAATGCAATTTAATGTTTATTTTAACACAAAGTAAGATTGGGGAAAACATGAATATTATTAAACACGTATATACCATTTATCTCATGATTCAATGTGCAATAAACAAATTTTTACACTCTAATAAATTTGAAAAATGAAAGAAAATTTTATTTGAAAAAAAAAATATGATTTGTATGGAAAAAATAGTGAAAAGAGAAGTTTTTTTTTATAAAATGTAAACTAATATATAAATCTGCAAATAAAACGTGACTGGTGGCATATATAAAATATCAGAACTATATAGAACTTGTTATAAACATAAAATATTTGATTAAAAATTAACTTTCATAATAATGGATATTATAACCTAGAAGTATTCAACAGCGCGTCGGAGCTTCCAGGTACAAGGTACTACGGTCTGGGAATCGTAAAAATATTGTGAACATACAAAGGATCCGCGGAATGAAAAAGTTTGAATACCACTGGTATAACCTAATCAGTTATCGTAAATTATTTAATCCTCCATGAACACTAAACAAATATTCGATGGTAAAAATTATTTCATGTTGTCTAGAACTTAGTTTTCATTAATACCTAATATTTTTGCTTAAAATTATTATAATAAATACCTATGAATAAATTAAATTTCAAGTAATTAAACTGTTCAACATTATGTAATAACTAATAATGTACAATAAACAGTAAATAAAAACAATAATAATAAAATTAACAATGTAAATCCAAACTTATGATTAGAGCCATAATAAAAATTAATAGCAACTGGATGCTGTAAAATAAAAATTACGAACAAGTTATAGATGCGTGATTTCAAATTTACTGTATTATTAATAACGATACAGAAAAGTCTATTTAATTAAATGGTATCGTAAATTTCAGTATTCCCGTCTTCGTGTTAAGTTTAAAACAATTATTATTGTAGACATTCTCTGCAATTKAATCAAAAACCATAAATTGAAATAAATATTATACTTTTTTTAATTGCATGCATGATGTATTTCATTAATATATTGAATGTTAAAACAATAAACTAACATTAAATATTAAAAAGGTTCAATACAAAAAAATGCTAAAGAAGTTGCTATGCTCTTTAGTAGGATTTGAGTATAGGTCCTTATTAGAGAAAACTTAATGCACTTTACGTGTTGAATTTGAATTCAATGATAGATGATTCCATACAAAAATTGAAACTGAGCTATCTGCTAAACTTATCTAGTTTGGATAGCTTCTATGTCTAAGAATGTTTTATACTTTATTTATTTATATGACAATTTGTAATTTATTTTTCTATTAGTAACAGTACATGTTGAACTGTTCTATCTAATATATCAAATACTATATAATAGCCAATAACTTACTGGGTTACACTCGTTCTTGTGATTTTCTATCAAACAGTTTGGGAATCCAAATATTGATACAACAATAGAACGAAAACAAGATACGTCATGAATCACAATCATCAGAAAATAACAATTTATATCATGGTCTTAATAAAAAATATTTACCATTGCCGTGGTATTATCGCTAAGAGGCTAAGACGTGACAAAAAGAAGTATGTGTGAACCGCGTGGGAAGACAATTTCGGAGTTGGGCGAAATGCAGCCCTCGCCTGAGGCTCTAAATCACACACGTCATCTGCAGTGACTGAAATAGCTCATTTTCCGCTCTTTCAACACAATAAACTACATAAGTAGTATAGCTATAAATAAGTTGCATACAGAGATTTAAGAATATCGAAAATAATTTWAACAATTTTTTTTTTAATTATGAACATATTCTCAAGTTTGGATGTATTAGCAACAATGCAACATATTACATCAAAGTTATAAACACTTTTAAATTATTTTATTTGAATTTCAAATTACAAAAAGCCATTATYTAGACCCATACTTAAAGAAGAACTACACTCGAAAATTGTTGTATCGCAGAACGATCACCATTCACAAAGTTTTTTGTTTAATTATTCAATTATGATACAAAATAAAATCGATTTTAATGAAAACTCTGAGAACAATATTCTCGTTTTCTATCAATTTTTTTAGTTTTTTTTTCGATTATTTTAATAAGTACTCAGAATCTTTGTTTTTTGACCCTTTAAAGTGCCATCAACTTCAAATTTTCTATCAAAAACATCCATCAAAGATTAAATATATAAGATAATCTAAAAACAAAAAACGAATCACAAAAAAAAATTTAAAACACATATTACTGCAAAAAAAAACTAATCGCTTAGCACAGAATTTAAAATCCTTACATATTAGTTTATTTTAAAACAAACTTAATTATTTGGCATGTTTCAAAGAAAATATATTAAACCATAAACTAATTCAAAATTTAATAAAAGGGTTAGTGTGAAGATTTAAAGTTAAAAAGTATACATTTATCATCTCTATTCATCTATCGAAATAGTTTTTTCATTTTTGTCGTTTTTTTGAAATGTAATATGAAACTGAACTGTAACATACCATTAAAATCTCAGTACCAATAAACCTAACTATATATATATATTTTTTAATTTAATTGACGTTGCTCAACATATCCATACGATGCTCGATTAGTATTAAAAATTGATTTTATAAAATCGAAGAAGCCCACTGCTGTATAATATCATCATCAACTAACAGGTGTAGTTTTAAAACAATAAGAAATTTGCGTATCTAAACACTAACTCGCCTGACCACTGCCTGCACGCTATTTATACATTCACATTAAAATCTACAAAAATAATACATGAAAATCCTTTTAAGTTCTATTAACGCATATCGCACATATATATAATGTATATAT